CCTACCCTCACCCTACCCTCATCCTACCCTCATCCTACCCTCACCCTACCCTCACATCCTACCCTCACCCTACCCTCACCCTACCCTCACCCTACCCTCATCCTACCCTCACCCTACCCTCACTCTACCCTCGCGCTATTTGAACGCTAGTGTTCAAGACAAGACGAGTGTGACGAGTGCTCTCGTCATACGAAGCGCTAAGATATTCTCACTGTAACAGCAATGGTCTTCAAAAATGACAAAAATTGATGGGAAAGAAATTCAAATCCATACGGGAGGCTAGACTAGAGAAAAATTACTTCTTGTTATCATGTTGTTGGATCAATGATCGATAAGATGACGTCATCGGGTAAGACGTTTCAGATTAACCCAGGTTTTTGTTTGCGATCAGCAAAGAAATGGATCGCTTTATATTAAATTTAGCAAAGGAAGTTTTTTTAATACAAGAAAAAGCGACAAGTTAACTAAATATTGGTGGTATTAACCGTAGATTTTTAGTTGCAGGAATCGTGCACAGACTGACAAAATTTTAACTGTGCGAAAAAACTGATCATAATGTTCAAATAGTGGTAATTTCTTAGCTCAAAGTCACAATCGGAGCACTGATACGCCCCTTCGCCTAACCAAACCAGGTCAGGATGACCCACATAAAATAAAAAATATAACTCAGTACTCACTGCAGTGAATGACAGAGAGCGCATTTTCTCGTCGACGAAAACTTGAGGTCACGGACGGACGGACAGACAGACAGACGGACTTGGTGAGGACAATAGTGCATTTTTTCCATAAATGAGAAAATGCGCTAAAAGCATATCGCTTTTTATACAAAATCCCACTAAGTTCTGTGAGTTTAAGGTACGACATTACAACATCAAAAGGCGTTACGATGTCCTAGCGAGAGAAGAGCTACTGACATTATTGTAGTTTCCGTCATAATTTTTGTCATCTCGTTAAAAAAATTCCCTTAAATTTCCCTTTCATATTTCGCCTCACCGATAATTGAAAAAATTTCGCATCTTAAGCAGGTCTAAGGCTTCACGTTCTCCAGCTTACAACGTCGCGTGGTCGCTTCTTATGTAAATTTATATCGATATTGAGCAGAAGAATTATTCAGAAAGTTTCCGGCAATTATTTTTCAGCCAATCATTTTTTCCGGAAATAATTTCGCAGAATTCAAAATTTATGCAGCTCATTTATTTCTCCTGATATTATTTTACTTTCATTTTATGATTCATCCATTTTTGAACTCCTTTGCTTCACTTAAATTTTAATATGAACGTTTTTAAGGACGATGAATACTACGTACATTTTCGGCATAAATTTGCGCATAAATTGAACTAAAAGCACATTTTTCGTAATCTCATGAATGACATTTGCTGTCTTGTAACAAGTATAAAAACAGCGTGCCACACCTTAGAATAGAATATAATAGAATAGAAGTGTCGGCACGAAGAAATAGGCCCATGGCCTGTTCCCTCATAATCATTTGCGGCGTTTATAAATTATTTACGCTCTATTGAAGGAACTTCTGAAGTATTCTCTTCACGTAACATCGAAAAGATTTTTTCAAGCAACGTCACGTATTTTTCACATGACAAACAAGGTTCAATTTAAGCAACATCACTCAGTCTCCATCCGAGCATATCATCACTATGGCCACATTTAAGCATAACATCTACAGGTTTCCATCCAAACACAACATCACTATGGCCACATTTAAGCATAACATCTACAGGTTTCCATCCAAACACAACATCACTATGGCTCCATTTAAGCATAAATTTAAGCATATAACATCTCCATGTTCCCACCCAAGCACATCACTAAAGCTGCCAGCTGCGGTTCACCACCCACATTATCCCCTCGCCCACGAAACTCCTGAAGAACAACGAGGCAATAATTCTTCGTCGACACGCCAACTTTCAGCCTCAGTGGAACAACTCTTCACTAACTTCAGTCCCGCTCCACCCAACCATTTATTGACGTTTGCAACTCCAGCGCAACAATTCCTGGAATAATTCCCATGGCGCAGCGAACGCGCGAGAAACGTTCCATTGAGTCAACGCGGCGTTCCACACTTCATGCAAATTGGCGCGACGGAATGCCGAACAGGAATTGATTGAGTCAGCGGCGTTCAACACTTCATGCAAGTTATAATTGTGTTCTGTCAAGTTGAAATGTAAGGTTTTGATAGACATATTTAATGATTTAAACCAATTCAATCTCAAATATGTTCATCTGCTACGCTGACAACCGTATACTGCCAGCATACTACGCTGACAGCCGTGACCTGTCAGCATGCTACGCTGACTGCCGTGACCTGTCAGCATGCTACATTGACTGCTGTGCCCTGTCAGCATGCTACATTGACTGCCGTGACCTGTCAGCATGCTACTTTGACTGCTGTGACCTGTCAGCATGCTACATTGACTGCTGTGCCCTGTCAGCATGCTACATTGACTGCCGTGCCCTGTCAGCATGCCACTCTGATGGCCGTGCCATAACAGCATGCTACACCGGGGACTTTTTCATCAGTGAATGAGAAAGAAAGCTCGCAATTTTTCCTGTTTTTTCCCTGTGAAGGTGAAAATTGTTCCATAGCAACACCGTAACCATGGTAACAGCAAAAAAGTAACTATATATAAGTTACGTATACGTCAGCAAGAAACCTGGCAATGGAAGATTATTTACTCGAGTGACGATTTAACGACGATTTTTTATGTAATGTGAAAAAATAGTTGCTCTTACATTTCGTGTTGCAATGTATTGCGAAAACTTATGTGAAAAACATGAACTGGGGAAAAACTTGTTCAAAAATAAATTGCCGTAAATTCTAAGTGTTTCACTCAGCACGCATGAAGTTTCCTCCCGGTCAGATTTGAACAAGACATATATGGTAGTGAAATAAACTTATGATACTTTTGAAAACACAAGAGAGAAGTCCGTGGTAAGAAATAGAAAACTCTAGCATCTGTTGTACATTTTACGTTACGCTAGAAAACCTGACAGCAGGTTTACTAATAACATTGGGAAAAAATAAGTTTCAAGGGGGGTGAGATTTAAAAAAACATTTCTGCATCAACTTGCCACAAAGAAATTGATGACTCCATCACAGGCTTCCTTTACTCGCGCAAAAAGCTTTTGTTTTTACTTAGCTCTATCCGTTTGCGAAGGTTTTTTGAGAGCAGGTATAGTGGAGTGAGGAGAGACTTAACTCACTTCGCTTGCTTGCCTTAGCAAATGCGATCTTGTGCGAACATTCACCGCATGTTAAACTGTTTAAGATAAAACGACCTAGTGCTCAAATAATTCATGTGTTGGACTGTCTCAAACGCAAAATTTTTTCACGAAAATTCACTGCGTGTTTAACAGTGTAGGACAACACGATCTTGCACGCAAATGCGTTGCGTGCAACAGGATCTTGTACAAGAATTATTTATGTTTCATCGTCTGCAAAAATTATCTGCAAAAAAACAAACAGGCGAAGCCCCAAAAGAATAAATCAACTTGACTTGCTGCAATGGAAGAACAGCCAAACTCTTCCAGGAGCTATAAATTCTGCCAGCATTTGGATAGCTTCTGTCCTTCGATGCAGGGGAACTTTCTCATAATATGCATCAATATGTTATTTCTTCATAATATTTTATTTAAAAAAATGGATTTACTCAATGAATTTATGAGCAACCTATTCACACTTTAAAATATACTTGTTTTTGTCTTAGAGCTGTTTCCATAACATGTATTGAACAAATTTCCAAGGAGAGGAAAATCTTTGGTGAAAACTGCTTAGGATTTATAAAGTAATTAATTTCCTGCTGGAAAACCTTTACTCAAACACAACACAACATTTAGGCACTGAACAACCAATAGAAATAAAAACATTTATGCATAATTTTATAGCTGACATTATGCCTTTTTTTCCACAGGCGGTGCCAGCGATGATTCGACCAGCGAAAACTCTGGTCGAGATGACCCATGAGCCTCGCCATGTGTCAACAAAGCGTTAGTCAACGGACGCTTTCCAAATTCTCACAATTCATCACACACTCAGCGATAAAGCACCACAAACTCAGCGCTAATTAGCGCAACAGCGATAACGCATCACAAACTCAGTGCTAAAGCATCACTAACTCAGCGATAACGCTCCACGAGCTGAATTTTCCTGCCTAACCAGCCAAATCTTCAACAGTGAACAGCTGGAACAGTTCGCCTTGCAAGACGCATGGAGTTCAAGTTTTCGTGAGTTAGACTCTTAGCGTTGATGATGAGAGTCTGAAAAAGTTCGTCTTAATTTTACGGACGGTTTTTAATGCCTTTCCAATTCCGACAAATTCGTTTTTTTCCGCTGAACTTCGAGCATGCATGCCTCACAAACTAAAATGCTGCGTACTTCTACTCACATTTGATCTCATGCGAGTCATGCGTCAGATACTCAACACATCACCAATTCCATTCGTCATACGAGCAATTACGTTTTGCGACTCACCGATTCAACAGACCTCTATTTTCAACGACCATTTATGCAGCAAAGTGTTGCGACTCAACGATTCAACAGGCCTATATTTTCAACGGCCATTTGACGACAAACGCATCGCAACTCAACGATTCAACAGGCCCCTTTTTTCAAAGGTCATTTGAGCACAAACGCTTCGTGACTCAACGATTCAACAGGCCCCTATTCTCAACTACCATTTGAGATCAAGCGCGTCACAATTCAACAATTACCCTTCGTTTGCACAGGCAGTTGAGCGCTCAGGCCTCGATGATCACAGCGGATACACGTGTCGAGGATCTTTGACGCGGTGCCCAGTCCAGACGGTGGAACGAAGAATAGACTGCGAGGTGTAACATTGACGGGATAATGCATGTTACGAAGACAACACTGGAATTTTTACCTGTAAATTTGAAGTGAAATTTGGGTTGAAACAACATTTTAATAAAGCATATGAACTGAAATTAAAGCACACACATTAGTAAAAGCCCATGAAGTGAAATTCAGATTGAAAAATAATTTTCGTAAGAGTGTGGAAGGAGTTGACTAGAAGTCTACTGTTAGAAATCACAGGCGATTTTAGATGGCCACAGAAAGACTGACAAACAGCCGATTTGACCCTAATTGTAAAATGTAAACGCTTGAAAATAGTTAATCCATTACAGTTTCATTTCACGTAAAGAAAAGTAATTACTTAAATAATGAAATAAAATGATTAGACGTAAAAAGAGAACAGGAAAGTATCCGATAATTCTTACTTTCATCAGTTCTCTAGTTTTTCTCTAATTTCGAACATGACGACATGATTTGCGTGGTAAATATTATTTTCTGCTTTCATTTTAAACAGTTTCCCTGTGACTACCGATCGTCTTTGGGCACAATATTATTTCATTAATTAATTTCAAATAGAAGTGCTGAAAATTACTATCCAGTGCATAAATTGAAAAATAAGGGATCAATATTTTTGTAATGAAGTTGAATGAAGCCCTCATAAAGGACAGCCGATGACATCACACGCAGTAGTTCTCCAGCCATCTTGTGATGATGACAATAGCTTATCCAAAACGACCTAAAAATGGCGGCTTATGATGGATTCTCAAGTTGTAAATTCCTCCATGTATCCACGGTCGATACTGAAAGAAAATTCGGTAACGACAATTTCAAAATTAATTTCCCAACACCTGCTATCTTCTTCTTTGTCCACTCCCTTCCCACCTCTGTATTCCATCTGGCAAGGTAATTTGGAGGAAAGTGGCCAAAATTGGGTTCCTCGCAACTCAGATTTGGGATTTGCCAACTCATTTGTAAATGATAATCAGTTCTTGAATCCAGCACCCAACAAAGTCGACGTGGGCTTGAGTGAAGACATAGAAAATACCTCAGCTATCATCAGCAGTTTCCTATCACCTGAAATAAATTTTTTTTCGACGCTGAATGAAACTTTGCCATTCATTGGCACAATAGACGCACATTCTCTCTCTCCTCGTGCGCTTGAATTCAACTCTTCAGAACTGTTCGCAAATGCGACAATAGAAACTCCTCCTCTTTTGTTATCAACAGAAAACGCGGCGTCTCCTCAGACCGGGATCATTTGGCAAACTATAGTTCTCGTCATTTTAAAGTTGATAGTCATGGGAGGCATCATTGTCGTTGCCATACTCGGAAACATTCTCGTAATTGTGAGCATCTTCCTCAACCACAGACTTCATTCTTTAGCTAATCATTTTCTGATCTCCCTTGCCACCGCAGATATCATGGTGGCAGTTTGCGCCATGAGCTTCAATGCCTCAGTTCAAATTTCAGGATTTTGGATGTTTGGATCCATAATCTGTGATCTTTGGAACTCTTTCGACGTATATTTTTCCACTGTGTCCATACTTCACTTGTGTTGTATAAGCATGGATAGATACTACGCTATACTCAAGCCGTTAGAGTATCCAATCTACATGACGAGGAAAGTGGTTTTCTTCATGATCGCTATTTCTTGGCTGCTGCCAACTTTAATTTCGTTCCTCCCCATCTTTTTGGGCTGGTATGCGACAGCGGATCATCTGCAAATACGAGCTCTGGATCCATATTCATGTACATTTGAAGTTAATTCCGGTTACGCATTGCTTTCATCAGGTTTATCTTTTTGGACACCATGCACAGTCATGCTTGTCATGTATTTCCGTATTTTCCAAGAGGCCCGTAAGCAAGAAGCTGCAATCATGAGTCGCACTAACAGCACCTGCCACATGAATAACAGTAGGAAAAAAACACCAAGACGATCACGTTTGAGAAGATTTTTCTCATTCGGTGTGAGTGCACGAGCAAGAAGAGGTAGTTCCGAGCGGCAAGAGCTTTCACATCTCCAGCTGAAACATTTACCGGCAATAGCCGAGGCAACCAGAAAATCCCAATGCCAACTCCGTGACAGTCTGAACCAAGGCAGACCATCTGTTACGGAATCCATAGTGTCTGTGACGCGATGTTCCGTAGGCAGCAGTCCGTGTCTGTGTTCTTTGAGTGACAAGGATACATCAGCCGAGTACTCGAATACGCTCCCAAAGGACAAAAGCCGACGCGTTTCACTGCCTTTGCACGATCGATCTGATGTCGGAACGATTCCAGCGAGGGATTTCTCATTGAGACAGGAGTACAATAATGCACTCAGAAAAATGACTGAGGGAGATGAGATTAAAACAGAATCAAAGAACGCTGAATTTCAATCGATTCCAGAAGACCACATCTGCACCAATTCTAAAAAGCGAGTACAAACACAAGATTATTTTGAGCCACAGAGTGAGAAATGCCCACTCTCAGAAACTGATCTGAACCGCACACAGGATTACGACCCTACAATAGAGGAAACAGAGTTGAAACTTCTTGGTTCTGCAGATCAAGACGCACGGGTTACGGTACCCGACAATTCGGCAGTTACTTGGAAACGTTCAAGTTACTCGAGTGCAGAAGAACGACTCACGTCCCCACACGCGAGCATAAAAAAGCTAAGTCAGCGTTCGCGTGGAGACTCGGTCGTATTGGAAGGTCGATCCGCTCCACATGCGCCGATGATGAAGCGGGAGCATAAAGCTGCCAGAACTCTTGGCATTATCATGGGTGCTTTCATTGCCTGTTGGCTGCCCTTCTTCACTTGGTACGTTGCTGTGCACATCTGTCGTGAGTCATGTCCTACTCCAGAACCTGTAGTCACTTTGTTATTCTGGATCGGGTATTTTAACTCTACGCTCAACCCCTTCATTTACGCATACTTTAGGGCTGATTTCAGAGAAGCCTTCCGAAAAACACTGCGACGTTTCCGGTGTCCAGGATTTAGGTCTGCGTCGTTCTCCTCATATTAAATAGGAATTTAGAAATATATGTTTAGCTAGAAAATATCGCTGACGTGCGTTGTACTAATTATTGTCAGTAATTACGTCATGACCTGTACATATTTAATTCACTGCTAGTATAAAGTTGATTTTAAGATACAAATAAGACTATTACAATAATTATATAGTGCGTCAGGTAACTTATGAAATATATTTTGTCAAAATACGACTCTTAACTCACATAAATGTTTTCTTATAGCTGAATTATTAAAATTTATTGCTTATATTTTAATATTTATCTACAATATTTAGAAATTTAATAGCCGAATAATTATTGAAGGAAACATCAAATGAAGTCTAAAATGAGCCTCAGTGAGAATATGGCTGAAAGTTTCACCGATTTTATAATAGAAAGTAGAGTCGTTGCCTCACTAATGGGATCATCAATCTTGGTCTGTGTCTTCATGATAAAAAACCCATGGGGAGAAAATTATTGAGACAAAATTTGAAATTCCAGGAAAAAATAGAAGAGATTTAATCTAACTTATTCAGCTATTAGAGTCACATTGAGACCTCGAAGTTTCGTAGAAAATATGATGATGGAGCTAAAACGGAAACCCGTAACTTGTTTTCTTCAAGGCAGTAACGGCAACAACTGACCTGAAACCGAAATTATTATCATGTCGAGGTCATTCAAACCTAATGCTGGAAATTTAAACTAATTTATGAACACAGGAGAAACATGATAGTCTGGTTTATAATTTTTCGGAAGTGAACTAATGCTTGCAGACCAATGTGAAATTTGCAGAAATTCTTGGAACAAATTTACCAAAGTTTGGATAGAAATACTAAAGTCTTAGAATGATAAAATCATGATGTAAAAATTCAGCGTTCACACTTGCTATAAGTAGGCGTCAAGCTCTCGGCTTGAGGCGTGCATTAAGAGAAACACAGTTTGTCCAAGTTACGATACTCATTTTGCCCTTGCGTGAGCTACCGTGACCTGGGGCCATACTTTCAAAACTCGCTAAGTGAACGTAAGTACTTACGCTCTACTTTCTTGTCTATGATTGGTGGATTTTGTTTGAAAGGCCGTCAATGATTGGCTGATGAACTTACGATCTCTTAACTTTTAACTTAACTTAACTTAGCCGCCAAAAGGGCGTATCAGTGCAACGTCCGTCTCTTTTCGAGCTGTGGGTAAGCAAGTGTGTCAAAATTTGAACAATATGGCCCATTAATTTCTCTGAGTGTAAACTCAAGGGAGCTAGCGAGAGCTAAGCTGGAGTAACTCGCTGCTTAACCGGTACGCGGGAAAATCAAGCTGAAACTTTCCAGGTTTCGGGCTGGCAGAGACCGCCTAATTTTTCCCAAGAGATCGAACTATCGGCAGAGACTCGCAGATACTTCCCCGTGTGATTCCTGATGGAGGATTTCGAGCTGAGAAGGTGATTCTGTAGTTCTTACCTCCAGGTAAGAAGAGGTTTACAGGACCGTACCTTGCATGCGTCCGTACCGGGTACAAGGAAGTGGGACCGTACCAGGCCCGGGTCTTCAAATTTAGGCAAGAGTGACTTCAGGCAATCGAGCGTACCAGGCAAGAAGGCACCGTAACAGGCAAGAGGAAAGGAATGTTTCAGGCAATGAGGCACCGTAACAGGCACGGGCCATCGGCGTAACCGTGTTCAATCGTACGCTGTATTTCTAAAGTACCATGAATGACAACAGAAAGAAATTAAATATATTTAGTTCTATCAGCAGGTAAATTTTACCAATAAATGTGCATTCATTTTCTCATTTTTTTGCGGACGACAGCCATAAATTTACGCTCGTCAATTCATTTCTTAATCATTCAGAAGTGAAAAATATAAATACACAACGCGTTTGACAATCTGACACCAACACGATGGACAATCAACACAATTATCGCGATATTCATATAAACATAATGTTTGAACATCGAATGCTCAAAAAAGGTCATTAGCTGCTTAAGGTAGTAAAGACATCATGATAATCCTCGCATATATATAACAATACACAACAGATAGATTTTTTTCAAATTAAAGAGTTGCAATAAATGTTATTACTCAATCTTTGAATGGAAATCCTTCCGACTAGATGTGGCATAAAATTCATTTTCGCTTCTAAACTAACTAAAGTAGTAATAAATTAGTCGTCGGGCTATGGTCTTATTCGATTTATAATTGCTTGAATAAAGTCAGATTAAATCTGTGTAATCCAGTGAAAGCGGCCATTTGACTCCCGCGCAATTACAGTGCGCGGCGACGGTTTCAATTAACTCAAGTAAGATTCAAACGTTTGATGTTTAATTGCGCAACCATAAAGTGAAAGCTAAACCAATCACCAATAGGTTCAAACAACCTATTAACACCCTTCATATATTGCATTGCATTTACAGCTACGATGCCAATTCGAATTCTATAACATTCCTGTCATCGTCTATTTACATGTTGAATTAGTTATGCTTATCTTTTTTGCGTGTGAAAAATAATTCACGAGAAATTCTAAGAACGCAATTCGCCTTCAAATTGAATTTACTGACATTTGCCCTTGAAGAATCGACATAGGGATCTACAGCTTTGACAGCTTTGAAATTAAACGCTTCTTTCAGTTAACCGATTCAGCATCCAAAATGATATGAAATTTACGGAGAATGAAAAATTTAATTTGAAAATGTTCTCGCATAAATTGAAGCGACAATTTACAAATTCATTACCTTGCGATGCTGCTGCACAAATTGTTTTCAGAGTTTTCCTATCTGGTTCTCATTTCCGTTAACTTATATCATAACATTAGCTAAATCTGCCATAACAATGTTCTTATACAGGGTGCGGCGTGGGAACTTACTCTTTTAAAAAAATCACAAAGTAAAAAGTATTAAAGATAGCGTTTTAATTCTTTCTTTTTTACAAAGAGCTACATTTAAAGTTTCGTTGGGTTTACTTACAAGTTTAATTCTTGAATATTACATCTTGTAGGTGACCTCCATATCTCTCTCGACCACTGCATGGTCGCAACTGAACTGAGTGGACGAAAAACTTCATAGCCCGCGCACCATATTGCGCATGGCGCCACCTTCCTAGGACTAATGGCCGCCACGTGGCGCGCAATTCAAATAAGTAAGTTCCCGCGCCGCACCCTGTACTTATTTTTATATGTTCATCTCGACATCGCTTGTGCTGTATCGAAATTGCACTCCAATAAATCCATCATTTTCACAATCCCAATCATCTCCAGCAAATCCATTCGCAATCACCCCCACACATCCTTTGCAGTGGTATTCGGAGCCACAGAAAGAAAGTTAATGTTATTCAGACACATTTACCAATGTAGACGTTTGTGAAAAAAATTGATCTGATCAACGTGAAACGAAAAATAGAGTGAAATTTGAAAAAGTTCATGGAGTCAGTTCTAGAAGCTTTACTCAGAAAAAATGTATTGGTCATTTGGTCCAAATAGTGACTGATTTTCTTACCCACATAACGAGCAGAGAGCGAACGTAGCACTCATGCGACTTTTTGCCGATGCCAAACTGAGTCTAGATGACCCGGAGAAAAGAAGCATCACTATGTGGCCAATGTCTCAATTGTTCTTCTGAGTGGGCTACAGGTTTCGATTTTCCCCACTGGTCATAAGGTCGTGTTTCCTACCTAAAAGTAGCGGCTTCAGTTCAAGACTTGAAGTGCGATTTAGTATAGTATCTTCGGTATTGAAAAATAGGCCTGGATAGGCCGGTCGCCGATTCTTGTACCTACTTTTCTTGACTACACTGGTTTTTCGTCTGATGATTTAATTAATATGGCGTGGGTTTTTTGAGCATTGAGCTAATTCTGTACAAAATAAGTGGTTCGGTTCTTCTTCCATCTATCAATATTTAATATTTATTGCAATCGTGCGACACTTGTATAGAGTTTTTTTTCTGCAGACGAGATTGATAGTCTAGAGTAAGTCTTGACTCTTCAACGTGATAGCTGCAAACTCGAGATGTAAAATATAGTCTATAGTTAATGTAGATATTACATATAATTATACTAATAACTAATAGTTTAATAGAAATTTAGCGTTACCTGCTGATGTACATAGCTCTCTGCCTCAGGATGCCCTGAGAAAAAACGTTATCAATATTCTCTTCATAGTGGAGTGCATTTTCATGGATCATCTTTATGAAAAGAAGATTGACAACATAATTAATAATGTAATTTTCAATGAACTTAAAAAACACGTGTCTCAACCGTACAACATTTTGCTCGTTCGGTGTCTATTTTCGGCACTTATGTACAAATAAAGCCGTTTTCAGAATAAGTACATCGTTGCTTCTCAGGAACAATGCAATGTAAGTGTAATGCATGCATTGCTATGCAATGTGTAAGCCAGAGCCCGATAAAAAATCTCAGTCAGAAAAAGGATTAGCATGTTTTTTTAATCCTAAAAAGCACATGAATTTTTATCCTCTTGTCGAGGTGCACGGATGAACACAGCAGCCCGCTCTGAACGATTTTTCGATTAAGATTTAGTTTAGATTAGAAACGATTTTTCGAACGAGATTTATCAAATTCTATTACATTTACCGGGTTCATGAGAGAATAATATTTTTGTTCACGAACTTTTCCTAAAATTACACCGACTTAGATATCGAATTTAAAATTGGACGTTTTTCTAAAAATTTGATCAAATCAACATCAAAACAAGTTACGAAAAAATTAATGCACACGGATATGAAATAAAATTTGAAGTTATGACAAATCCCGGAAAACATTACCAATTGTAAAATAAAGAATGTTTTGATAGATAACGAAAATGAAATGTATATAAATATATAATGAAATATAAGGATGTGGGACTAGGTATTGTTAGGTACAATTATTACGATGGATCTGCTGCCGAGCCGGCGGAGACGGTTGACTCGGTGACACGGACATCGTTATTTGTTCGTCTTTTTTATAGTGAATTATTACGGTAGGATGTACATATTCGTACAATTTAGGTAGAAATACAATTGTATATATAGTAAACGAAAATGCGTCATAAAGCGGCATATGGTCTACTTACAATCCAGGTAGCAATAGCATTGTAAGGTGTGAATGAAAGTTTTGCATGTAGCGGTAAAGTTGTTGATTCGGAATGTATGTAGAAACATTATGAGAACACAT